TCCTAGACTTGGTGTTATAGTCAGGCTTTGCAAGGGAATAGATTTAATAGAAGACACATAATTTTCAAGGATCCTTTTATAGTCACCCAAAGAATCAAATGCAAAAGTATGGGAGATACATCCACACACTAGACACCTGAAGAATCCAGCTGAGGGCCTCGATCCCTGGCAATGTCTGGCTCAAGTCCAGCTGAAGACCTAGAGCCCATGGCAATTTCTTATGCAGATCTGTATCAAGGATCTGCACTGGGAAGGACCAAAGTTCAGTGGTGGAAGCTAGAAAGTCTGCACCAGTGGGATGAAGGATCTGTGCTGGCAGGCTGAGGGATCTGCACTGGAGCCAGGAAGCACCACTCAGAGTAAGAACCAGAGCTCCCTTGAAGAGAACCGCAACCACTCTCAGCGACACCAAAGCTCCTCCTCTGATGAAAACAGCTAAGTTCGTTTTAGGAAAACCAGTGTAACAGTCTTCTTCAGGAGAATCAACCACATACCATCTTCCCCTGTAGTTTTCCTTTTATGCTGTTGGTAACAGTCATGCAGGACTTTCATTCCCAGAGCTATGCTGATTCAGTTCAACTGGGTGTTACAAATTGACTATTAGTTAATCCACCACACCTGATCAAGATGTTCAGCCTGTACCACCTCTCTGGATGCAGCGTTTCTTATTCTTTCATTCTACTGAAGTTTTCTTACTTCAGATGTTTGTTTGTAAAGGATGATGATAATGTTTTAGTTTTTTGGAGGATTTTGAGAGGGGTTGTATTGTTCAGAGTGTTACATATTTTTTCTTCATTATTTTCACCTTTGTGTCTTTATAATCTTCACTTTATCTCATCCTACCAAATTATAAGGAATTTAGTGCTTTTTAACCAGTGCTAGGCACCATCCTTGTCCCATCCTGCTCTGCCCATTCTGGGCGCAAATGAGCTGTCATGTTTATAGCTCCCCTTTATGGCCCTGTGTGCCTCAGCTTCCAATCTAAGTTGTGGCTAGTAAAGCTGTTCACATTTTTCCAACCATGAAATCTCTAGGTTGTTTGTTTGTTTCACAGAAAAGTGTGCTCCCCTATTTTGCAACCTCCACCTTAATCATAACACACATGAGTGCGATATCTCCGTGATGGTTGAGCTTTTTCTGGATATTAAATTTTTTTTTTGCTTTACATATGTCAATTCATTTAATCTTCACAAAATATCTTAAGAGTAAGGTACCATCATAATTTCATATATAAGGAACAGAAAGTTTATGTTACTTGCCCCAGCTTGCACAGCCAGTAGTTATGGCACTGGAGTAGATTCTGGGTTCTTTTATACTCATTCTTTGTTTTTTTAATTGGTTATGCAGATTAATGGGTTTCATTTTGGCAGACTCATACACGTGTACAACATACTTTGATCATTTTCACCCCATCACCCTCCTTTCCCTCCCCTTTCCTTTAGTCTCATATTTTTGGGGAGGTTTCAATGTATATAATTTATTTTGTTTATTACCTCCCCCAACACAGTTAAGCCTAATTGTGTCATCTTGATTGGTTTAGGAAGTACCTAGGGGATTAGTAAAGCACACTTCTAGGTGTGTCTGGGTGGGTCATGGAAGCCTGACCCTAGATATTAGACAAGGTTCTTGTCCTCTTCCTTTCTGCTGGTACTGTTTGCTGTGCTTCCCCAGAGCCATGAACTGAGCAGCTATTCTCTGTTATACTCTTCCATGGTATTTGTGCCTTGGAGCCAGCTAACCATGGACTGAATCCCCTGAAACTGTGAGCCAAATTGGACCTCTTCTTTAAGTTGTAGCATGTCAGATATGTGGCCTAGTGTTGAGCAAATGACTAACACAGTCTCCATGGAATATTTTATAGTAGTCACCTGTTACTTTGCACAATAAAAATTAATATTTTAAGTCCATCATTTTTTCCAATCATCATTTGATGACTTTTCTAGGTAGGGCATTCCACTTTGCTTTGTACTGAAGTTTATCTTTGCTTAATGATTTGTATTAAAATTTAAGATTTGTACAGTATTTTAACAGATTTCATATGCTACAGAATTTTCTACTACAGATCTTTTGTGTTCTGTTCTAAATGTTCTTTCAGATTTATTCAAACTTTGCTTTCTCTGTCACTGTACCCAAAACTAAATTTTCATTATTTCTTGAATATTCTATGTACCTGTTTTGCTGTTGCTAACCATTGGACACATTGTACATCAACATTCTATTACTAATATCATTTGCTAAACCTGATATTTCTTACTAGGCTTAATTCACATGCCATTTTCTACAAGTGGTCTTTCTCTTTTAGTTTTCTCAACTGTTATTATTACTCTTGCATCTAAATAGCTTCCTCTGACATTGTCATAAGCTTCTTTTAGGTTGAGAATATTTTGTTCATTTTTAAAATTATGAATGGTTATTTTAATGTTCTTTATATTGGGACATTTAAGATAAAAATATGTTGAACAAGATGAAACATTTTAAAAGTGAATGTCTCCCCTCTGGCCCTTCTAAACTACTTACAAGCAATGATCATATCATATACTGTCATGTATTCCTATAGCCCCTAACATGTAACTTATTTCTAGCTAGCACTAAATGAACTTTTATATAGTGAAGAGTAGGTTTGCCATAGCCCTTCAAAACTACTTACAAGCAATGATCATATCATGTACTGTCATGTATTCTTATAGCCCTTAACATGTAGCTTATTTCTAGCTAGCACTAAATGAACTTTTATATAGTGAAGAGTAGGTTTGCCATGGTCTGAATAATCAAAATTTGATTCTCTGAGAAGCCAAGTTGGTAAAATGTGTCTAGTCAGTTTTTATGAGCTTGGACTAAACTTGTGGAGCCTTGGTTTCATTATCTTCAAAATGGTGATAATAGTCTGATAGCTTGTTGTTTTCATGACTGAATGAACTCTCAGAAGGCTGAGGTAGAGAATCTCAAGGAGGGGCTAGTGTGGACAACTTAGTGAGAACCTGTCTTAAAATACAGCATAAAAAGATCTAGGGATGTCACTCAGAGGTCAAGCACCCCTTAGTTCATTCCCCAGTATGAGGAAAAAATGAGTGGACTAATTGTGGAAATTTTTATATAGTATCTCAAATAAATATATATTAAATTGCATTCACATTGAGTTATTGTTTTGTTTTCCCAGGCACACTGCTTCCCTGCTTCTCTTTGAATAGGAGGTAGGTCACTGCCAAACACCCATTTACCTTGGGGCAAATGATATCCATATCACTTGAGTCCTCCTCTGTCCCTACAGTCATTTTTATTACAGTTTATTTTCCTGAGCAATCTTCTTGCTTAGGTGATGATTTTCACATAGGAGTCAAAAACAACTCAGTATCCTATAAAACTGTCAATTAGGCCTATTCTTTTGTTATCTAGTGTTCAGCCTGTGTGTGCAATGAAACTTCCCACAGTATCCAGTCTGGAGTACCACAGTGCAGCCTTTGGTGGCATGTGGCTATGATACCACACCAGCGCTCACATCCCTTGGGACTACCTGCCTTCCAGCGTCACTCGTTTCCCCACCTCAATTCTCTCCACAGTCCTATCTGACGTACTGAGGGACCAACATGGGTCCTGACAGACTAATCATGAAACAGGAATCTGCTTTCACCACCTCCAAGCAGCTGCCATCCGTGTCCTGAATCTTAGACTTTGTGTGATGAGGAAGACCCGATTGGGTTTCTGCATCCTCTCATCCTTCACTGTTGTTGCTCTACCCTGAGGTTTTCTAAGGCATTTGCTCATTACCACTTCAAATATTCAGATGAAGCCTGTTACTCACCCAGAGAGGGGGCCGGAATGGCATGCCCTTGTCATCTTCTATCATTAGTAAGAAATATTTCACTTATTTATTCATTCTCATTTTCAGTTAAGCCATTATACTGTAGGTAATAAGGGAAGTGCTGTATTTCTGCCTCACTTTTGGTGTACTGCTCATAGGGTAGTGATTTCTAGTGACTGGGAAAAGTAGTGGGGTACAGGGTAGTTAGAGATGGTCAATAGGGGTGGTGTTACAGTTAGATGGGAGGAATAAATGTTGGTGTTCTATGCCATAGGAGGATGAATGTGATTAACCACAATTCATTATATATTGCTAAATTGTTAGAGGTGAGGTTTTGGGATGTATTCATCATAAAGAAATGACCTAAGTTTATTATGGATATGTTCATTACCTTGAGCTGATCATTGTTCAATATAGTATATGCATGAATGAGAACATCTCATTGTATTTCATAAATATGTACAAATATTATGTATAATCAAAATATAAAATTAATTTTAAAAGGATATAAATATTTAAAAAATCGTAGATGTTTCCTTAAGATGATTTCTGACTTTCTGACTATGGTGGTGGGAAAGCATGGTGGTGTCTACTGTGCATATAGTAGAAAGCATATTTCACTTTTGGGTTTTGAGTTTTTCTGGGCTGGCAGTACATAGAATGGTACTTTCTTGTGATGCTGGACTGCAGCAGTGAACTATAGCTTCCAGTCAATAACCAATAATTAATGTAAACAGTAACCAGGACTCTACAATGCATGATGCTGCTAAACTATGATGTTTGGTAGGTTAGGTATATTAAAATATATTTTCAACTTTGCAATATTTTCATTTTAAAAGGGGAGTATCAAGCAATCCATTGTAAGTCAAGGAGCATCTATACTGCACGCTTGTTTAGATATCTTTTTCTAAGGGTATTCCTAATGTCTGAAATTCTCTCTGTACTAGCCAAGACATATTTGTTTTCTTTTTTTAATCAGGAAAAGCAACTGCTTTAATGCATTAGGCAAAGTTTTACATAAAATCAGAAACCTATGATCCATCCCTGACTTATTGCTAAAAAATGCAGGATTCCATGAGCCTTGCACAGTCAGATCCCAAGTCTCTGGCAGTGCAGGTCTGGGCTCTGCTTGCTCATGTTCTCCACACTGAACATTTGTTCTGTCAGCATCCACTCCAGCTTCACAGCATCAGCAGCAAACTTCTCGATCCCCTCGGACAGCTTTTCCATGGCCATGTGGTCCTTGTTGTGTAGCCAGCGGAAAGACTTCTCATCCAGGTGTATCTTCTTCCAATCACTGCCCAGGGCGGCCAAAAGCACTGGGGCCAGCTTGCTGTGGCCATGAGTAGCTCACCCAGGAGCCTAGGTAGACCTGAGGCAGTTGCAGCCCACCAGTGCCTTAATCTCGCCCATGTTGCAGGAGGTACCCATGACGATGGTCTTGTAACCAAACTTCTTGGAGTAGTTGTAGATTCTGATGACACTTTTGACCACGGAGTCCTCCAGGGGCTCCCAGAATATCTTGTCTGTGTTTGCCACATGCCAGGCCAGAATGGGCCCCACACGGGGCGAGACAAGTGTCATGCCCACCTCAGAGCAGGTTGTGGCCTAGCAGAAGGAGGTGAGCATACTCATGTTAATAAGCAAAGTCAGGCCCTTAAATCCTTGACCTATGTTTTTCCCAGGCTCACTTCCTACCTCGGGGTGCAAGGTCCCACAACCCCTCCCCATGGGAAATGTTCTGAGCTTCTTTCATAACCACAAGATGTTCCAATTAACTTCTGTCTCTATAACACTTTCACCTTCAGGACATAACACCTGCAGACTTCAGCTTTTGTAAAATTCTGCTTTGCTTGACCCAGGCCCAGCCCAACCCAGCCCGATTTAAACTATAGTGTAAAATCTCCCCAACCCTACTATTTGTTGCCTAGATTTCAGAGTACATAACTCCGCTGGGTCACAGCTGGCTAATAAAGATTGTTTCTTTCCACTTCTCTGTTCACATTCCTGTATAACTGGTAAGGCTGATTCTGCCATAACAATGATGCATCAGATGCCACTCTGTTCCTCCAGCCCCCTTCCAGCCTGGACTCCCTTCCAGGTAGATGTCAGCTTGATGAGAATTCTGTTTTTGCTGATTCCATCCTCCTTGTACAGTTTCATGGGCCACGTGGCTGGGACCACCAAAGATTGAGCCTTGCATCTACTTCTGTGGATACAAGGCCTGGAATCTTCTTCAGTATTTCTGCTCCAAGCAACATGAAAAGTTTATTAGTAGCATTTTTAACCTGGAGCTCTCATAACCTGCCTAGCTTCTTCTCATAGGCAGTAGCCTCCTCCACCAGCACTTGGTAGGTGGCATTTGTGCCACAGCCAGGATCAGGTACAGGTTGGTGGTGGCACCCTAGGGCTTGTACTCATCGATGTCATGGGAATTGCTCTTGTTGGCCACCACCGTGGTGAACTGCTTGAGCTTCTCCAGTGTGGCCTGCATCTTCTGGTGCTTCACACAAGAGCCACACGTGGCTAGACATGATGAGTAGCTGGCAGCAGCAAAAGGAATGCAGGGCCCAGAATGCCCTGCAGGCCCACAGGGCCTAGTGGGACCACAATGCCCATGTGGCCCAGAATGCCCTGCGTGGCCCCAGACATATTTGTTTTCAAATGTAAATGCTCTTTGTTTGGAATGCCCCAAGTCTCCTTGACTTTCCAGATCTCTCTCCCTTCTTACCATTCCCTCCCTATTGAAATTTGAAACCCGCCAGCCCAGGAGAATGGGCCCTATGATCCAGGTTCATTGTTTAATGTGAACTTAGTGACTGTGGACAATGAGGACAGAGTAAAGCTTAAACTTCTGGAACTTCTGACAGGCTGGGCCAGCTGGTGTAGTAAATAGTGACAAGTGGCAGTTAAATCACAATATTACTGAACTGTTAGGTAAGGAAAATTATGAGGAGGGAAATGATGAGCCATATAGAGACCCAAGTGTCCAGTATAAACAGGAAAAAGAAATTTCCTGGTGAGTTAAGAGAGGAGCAGATTTAAAATGCTATTAATAAACTTTTCATGTTGTTTGGAGCAGAAATACTGAAGAAGATTCCGGTGGATCTGGTTTTCAGATTCAATTTCTGCCAATTTCCCCAAATGTGATGCATTCTTACCTCCTGTGGGGTCAAAACTTTGGATGTGGGCTGTACACTACCCATTTAGAAAAACTGATATCTTCAGGGCGAGTTTTAAAATTACATCTACACCCTTATTATTGTCTATAGCAGCTAGAGACCAGGAGACTCTCATTGAGCTTATGTTATCAATTGCAACTCGGCTTCCCTGGAGAAATTAGCCCTGGTGGTACCAGATGAGCTAACACTAGTAATCCCAGCTCCCTTGATTTCACCCTCCTGGGCTCCCACCTCACCTTGTCTCTCAGTCCTCTCTCTTGCTTCTCTGCTGGAACATAAAAGGTCTGTAATAGAAAATTCTGCAGCATAAAATTTGTGTCCTTTCCGCTGTTCAAGCCACCATGCTTCTCAGAAGACTCTAGACTAGGTTTGGAGCCCATTCTTTACCTCTGGCTCATTGATCAAAGCAAAAGAAGGCAATAACCAACTGGAAACAATAGAGATGCCTTTAGAGAAATAGATTTATTAAGATTGCAAGAGTTTGCCCACAGGTAAGTTTGAATGGTTTAATTTACAGGATAGAGTTTTATTTCAATTTGTATCTGAAGCTATAGTTATTTTATAATTTCAGTTCTGCAGTTTGACCCTTCACTCTTTTGTCATCTTTTGTAAATAACACTAGTTCCAGTGTCCAAATATGATGTTCTTATTACCATGTCTGGACATACTGAGTGTGGTTATTCTTTACCAAATAGAGAGTTTGGAATGTTCTTCAGTATTTCTGTTGTTATTCTTTACCGAATAGAGTAAAGGTTGTTTTCCTTCCACTTCTCTGTTCGCATTCCTGTATAACTGGTAAGGCTGATTCTTCCATAAAAAAATAATAACTCCACCGGTTTAAGGGAAAAGTGAGGGTGAAATTCTATCTAGTCTGAGTCAAGGAGGCTGAGTTGCTGGTTGCTGGAGAGACGTAGTCTCTAGTCAAGGTCTCAGTGATGAACTAAGCTGGCACTTGGGATGTGCTGTTTATCTCTATCCTTAATGAAACATTCTCACTCTGAAGTCTGCAAGACTGATTTACTAAGAAATCCCTCAAAGAAGTTGATATGTAGTGTCGAAATAGAAAGAGAATATTGTAATCTTCAGTTCACTCAGAAATGTGACCACAGGAAAGACGCTTCCATGTACAGATCAAGAGTCAGATATGCCACGTGGCCAACACTAGGATTAAACTTATATATTAAATAAAGTGAAAAAAGAAATATTCAGT